ATGTGTGACCGGGTCTCGTCGAATGCGCGGCAGCTTGGGAATTGGCATCATGTCGCTGCACTGCTACCGCGTGTTCGGCAATTCGCGTCGTGAGAAATCTGCCAGTTTCTCAGAATCTCCTACTGCTCTCTGACTACGTCTCTGATGACGAATCCGCGACGGATCTCGAAAAGTCAGGCGAATAAAAGTGTTGTCCCAGCGATCGAGTCGTCTTCTGCTGAATTACTTCCTGAAACTCGCATGGTCGCTAGTATTGGCTCGCCAACTACTCTTCTGAAAATATAATCTGTCAATTAGTACACTGCTTTTTTACAGCAGGTGTGCAGTCAGACTGTACCCACTTACCCAAGCTGCATGCGCCTCTCCAGAGCGACGGCGATTGTAGGGCGCGGGTACGCCTCGTCACAGGCCTTCTTATCGCTGTTAAGGGAAGCTTGCAAGTCCAGGAGCTGTCGGTTCAGTAGCTTCACTAGGGTTAGAAAGAGAGAGAGAAGGGGGAGAGGATAAATTGCATGACCATTGTAAAGTTAAGTTGAAGAAATAAAGCAATAATTATTCGAGTGCCGCAGGTGACAACATCGGCTGCCCAACAGAGTGTATGCAACAACTTTCGCATGCGCAAGAATAAGTTGACAGCGAGGCAGAACTGCATGACGTCTTCTGCACTCGTGACTCTCCTCAGCTCCTGGCTCCGATGGAAATACAAACTACAGGTGAATGGAGGCGGGCGCGGGCGCAGTGGCACATAAGGCTAAACAGACCATCTGCACGAACCACACACAAACTTGTTAATGTTAAACTAAACAGGCTTCTGTAGGAGCGTTTGGAGTTCGCTTGTGTAAGTGTAGAATGAAATTAATTTTAGAGAGGTGCTCGCACTCTGGCTCTCAGTCCACAAGCCACTCCAAAGCATTCAGATAAGGAGGCCGTAACGATTACTTAGGGCCGCTTTTCGTAGTTCCCCGAAAGCATCCGGGAGATTTTTCGAATCAAACCAGATTCCTTAGATTAAATCCGGGCTGAAGCCTGGAAATTGGCCACTGAGCTAAGGACTCATACATCCTCACACACAGTCGGTGGCCCTGGTTTGTCCTGCGAGACGAGTTGAAGAGAAGAAAGCAGTGACGGTCTTGCAGATGCACATACAGCTCACTAGCAGCTCCGGCTCCAAGCTAAAAGCTCCAAGCAACATTAAATGTCAAAATTTTGTACAAGCCTATCCACATGCAGTGGCTCCAGCTCCCGCCTGTCCGTCTAATGTGGACGCCACAATCTCCACAATGGCGTTCCTCTCTAGGTAGACATGTTATAAAAGTTTCGGAGTTGAATTTTTCTCAACATGACATTTTACAATTAAAATTCGAGTAGACAGTTTCAGGATCACATCCGTCGACAGATTTTTTT